ATTCATTTGACATTACTTTTAAGTAATTTTTGTTCTGAAAAGCAAATTGAAAATTGATTGCTTTTAATCTAAATATTGTACATATTTTGCAGTTATTTAAAAAAAAATTATTATATATTTTTATATTTTATTATTAATTTTTGCATTTTGTCAATTTGCTTGTTTAGTCAAATAAACATATTTATTTTATTTTTATTACATTGGCAAATTAAATTCATGCCACTGCGGTATTACTATTGATATACAAATGCTTATCCAACATTTTTATATCTTTTTACCATTATTTAATTAACTATCAATTAATAATCATTATTTTATATTTATTTCTGTTTAAAAAGACTAATCTTTATTATGTATACAACAAAAAGAAGAAAGATAAAAATAATTACATTTTTTCAATAATAAAAGGACATTTGCTCTATTTATATTTAAAAAAAGAATGCTTTTTTAATGCGAATTTATGTGGAAATAGCTCTTTTGTTAGTTTATGCTTTTCTTATGTAAAAAGTTCAGTTTGAGTTTACTCATAGCAAGACATATAAGTAGACATTAAATCTATTCCACGTTATCTGGAATCATATGGAATCATATCATATGGAAGTGATTCACAATACATTTTTTTGTTTAGTTTATTTATTTTAAAGATAAAAATGAGCATTTTAAAGTGGCGTAATATATGATAGTAAAGAAAAAATATTTTATCAAAATAGTATAACAAATACGGCCAAAATTTTAATGTAATACACACTTTTTGAAGCTAGATTTATATTTAATAAAAAAAATTAAGAAAAATTATAATATATTATATTATATTATAATTATTCTTATTTTTTTAAACAACAAAAAAATATTTAATTTTTGTAGTGTATTACACGATAGTATGATAATAATTATCATCATTTTATATTGCGTATAGTAGAAGAACTGTGGAGTAAAATGGTTTATATGCGTCTATTTGCAATAGAGTGCCTCTATTTGCTAAATAAACATAAAATTAGCTTTCTCTTTGATGCTTTTTAACTGTTAAAAAATTACATTATTATACCATAAGACTATCGTGAGTTTTTTTACAAAGAAGTGTCAAATTTTACACATTTAATTCCTTAGCATTTTGATTGACAGAAATTACAAAACTTAATATTTAAAAAATTTTTATCAAGTCCCTTGTTTCTGGTTATTTGGAAATAATATTTTATCAGTTACATTTAAAAAATAATTTTATTACAGGTAAATAAAGATAAAATAATATTAATATTGTCACATGGGATATATATAAAATGGACCAATTTAAATATATTTTTTTTTCTATCTTTCTGGTTATATTTGCTCTGATTTGAGAAATATTTTATGAATTATAGATTATATAATAGATTATGTTTAATTTATTTTTGTTACACTCAAAAAAATGATCTTGCAATAATAGCTAAAATTTTCTAGGTGTAAAAAATTAACTAAAACAGATAAATGATTAGCAACTGTTGTGATATCGCATATGTAATTACTTAATCAGTTTAGATGACAGAAACAGAATATATATCTGTATTGTTTGTGAACTTTAAAAAGAAAGTTTCTCTAAAGCGCCTATCTATATAAGATCAATCACGTGTTAGATCATGCAATGAATAACATTTAGCAATGGCACCTAAATTTTTCAGAAGCTATTGCTAGAACATTACTGCTATAAATTCTGTATGTGACAAACAATGTTTTCACAGATACGAAAAATAGCGATACATTCTTGTTGCGATATCTAGAAATCTAACTACATCAGCGAAATATTTTTTTGAGTGCAGTGTCACAGACGAACAATCTGAAGGAAAATAGGAATTCTTATTTTATCAGTGCACAGAAAATACAAATTTTTCACTGACGTAGCAAATTTTATGTTGTCATAGCAAAATATGTCAGTTATTATATGAACAGCAAAGAGATTTATTACCGATACTAATTTTATCAATTAAAATTTAATTTAATTAGAGACTCACTTGCATCCACCCGTTCTGCAGAACGTCGTTGATTATTATAAAAATTTTTATATAAATTTAAAATCCCTTCTCACATTATTGTCGGAAGAGCAAAGAAGAGCTGATCGCTAAATATCAAATCATATCTCTCTCAATGAGTTTATATGAGACCCATTTATCTTTCACATGTTGGGACACTGTTGAGTGATAAATTTTAGTTCTTTTCTCAGCCGTGAATCTGCTTCGCACCATGGTTCTTCAAAATCATATCATCTATTACTGATGGCGCGTGGCTGTGAGGCAAATTTTCAAGATCTGCATCACAGGATCTGAACTTTTCAAAGCAACACATTGATCACTCACTATTGCCAAATGTCATACTGATGTTTCGTGTTGCCTCAGCCGCACTATGACTGAATTTGAACTCATATAATAAATTATTATAAGCGAATTTCCTTACTTTCCATCTCGAATTAAAAAAATCACGTATAACGTACGTTACAAATGAAGCTGTACATACACATTAATATGGAAGACTTTTCAAATGATACATATACATTCCATTAGATGGCAATCCCATATTTAAGGAGACTGGATATTGCACCGAGGTATGAGGTTGCACTCCAACTGGTATATTCGATTGTGGAACATTTACATTAATAGTGGACAAAGACTGTTGACTATAGACATTCTTGCTTGTAGTTCCTGGTGAAGACGGAGTGTAATTGGATCTCATCAATTTGCTAGTGTTACCATTTTTCTTTTTCAGTGGCGGTGAAATATATTTGCCTTCAGTAGGTCTTGCTTGAATTAAATATAACAGAATGTATTAATTTATAATTGTTATCTAATGTGTAATTTCACGAGTTTCTATGATTTTCAAAACAATACAGAAATTTTTACCAGTAATATGTCAAATCTAAGCAAAAATTTTAAATAGAAATTTGTAATAAAAGAATTTTCATAAATAAAAGGCAATTATAAACTGCTTTAATACTTGCTATAAATTAAAATTTATAAGTTGATGTTATTTATCTGATTTAAATTGAAATATTTTGGCAAGAAAACTATGGAAAAAATTTGAAGTTTCCTTAGAAATGTTTAAATTTCGGATGACTGAGTTTATTGTGACCTACACTGATTTTTTATTCCCATTGTAAAAATTATATAACATTTTTGGATTTAGACACATCTCTTTTTTTGAAATCTTGTGAAACATTACATGTATTAATATATTAACCGCAGAAACACTAGTTTGCGATGCTGTCTGGCTAATCGCTGTAAACTAAACATTCAGCTCTTAGGTCACAAATGACCCAGCCATCGCCAGATGACAGTTAATAGCTAAAAGTAAAAGCTCAAAATATTTCTCTCAAAGTTCACCACAGCTGCAAATCTTTCTTCATCATCATCATTTTCTAATGCTAATCTAGCTTTATGGTTTGGTTGAGATTCAATTTCATTTGCTATCTCAGCATCCTTTTGTTCTTGTTCCTTATAATCCTTGGTATCTTTACATTGAAGTTGTAGAGTAGCCAACCAAGGAAGGTTTAAATGTCGTTTGAACTTCGTAATCTTGTTCGTTCTTATGGAACATCTCATTAACATCCATTCTAAAAATCAGAAAAATTCATACAACTCATCGTTCGTTAAATTCTCTCCTGCAACAATTTGCGGAACTTACAGCAGCAGCATCTAATTCTAAATCAGCACCGTTCATTGTGATGGGTGCATCCTAAGGTTCGAGTTCTTTCTCAGCAATTATACCATTAAACTTACAAATGGCTGAGATACTATCCGTTTGGAAAGTATCTCTTATAGCATATTCTAAATCAACATCCTTGAAATGCATATCAACAACTTGGTGTGGTTTAAACATTAATTTTTCTACTACAGTTTCCACGTTGATCTTGTCCGAGTTGTCTGTTTTATGAGCCATTTGTAGTACTGTATTATTTGCATGACAAGATGTTGAACTATAAAAAAACAGAAAGTTCACATTATTAAAAACGGCCATTTCATCGACATAACCTATAGTTTACATGCATTTTTTATAAATTCTAGATTGAAGGTAAAGAAAAAAACACAAGAAAATTGGTTTTTAACGTATTAATTTTATTTTGATGTTTTCCATTTTTTTAAATCTCTTCGATATAAAATTTTTTTAACGATGCCACACACTCCATTCTCTGTCAGGCAAAAGTTGTTTACACTTCCATCTGTTTATATACACGATTAGGTTTAAGGCCGTAGTTGTTCAATTTTCTTTTCCCAATCGGTATCTAGCATGGACTAAGAATATTCTGAACAAAATTTTTTAACGAAGGGGAACGATGATTCAAGGGTAAAAAAGAATTGTAAGTACATCGGATTCTTTCGTCCGACTTTTATATCAGTACGACGCTGCACAACGTCAATCTATTTAAACTAACACAAATAAAGCGTAAATATATAAATCGAAAAAGTCCGATACTTGCAATCCCTTTTTTCTCCACATCCCTGTCGCAATTGGCAGTATACGCTGCGCTCAGATATACTCTTATGTCCATGATATATCTGCATCGAGCATCTGCATTTTTGTGTACTAGAGATACATAATCAACAAACGATTCATGCATATTTATCAATTGCGTTGCCTTATATATTTTTACTGAACAATGTTACTTATTAAATATTAGGTTTAACAATTGATTTCTAAATAACGACAAAAATAATAAAAAAAAAAATGTTATATGTTCTTCTGCCAATTTATCGATTATTTTATGCAGCAGTCATTATAAAACTCTATATTGATAAAGTAATATTTAAGCAAAAATAAATTAATAATATACAAAAAGTCTTATATAATTCGGATAATAACAAAGATAATAATATTGTGTTTTGTTTATAAATATTTTGAGTAATTATTATACTCATACTACTAAGGTAAAGTCAAATTGCATTGTTTTTCTATGTGTCTGTAATTTTTTTAAATTTAATATTTACTGAATTATTGTATCATTACGAAATATAGATGTTATTAAGCTACAAAAAGTATACAAGCAGTAGTGTGGAATTTATTGAAACAGACACCTTTTTTTTAAATTTATATAATATTCGATATGCAAATTATGTACCTCTCTCGGATGCTTAATGTTCGTATTGCTAACATTTAACACAATTTATTTTTTGTGCAGATGTTGCATCTATACGCATACTCGGTGTAGTCTTTCGCATTCGAATATATCCTGCGTATATCAACGTCTCGTAACAAAACTCATCAACAAATCGCAGAATAGCACATTCTGCTGATACCCTGCACTCCAACTTTGTCAATTATCGCTCATTTCGTTCAGGTCAGATTCGAAAAAATTGCAATCGTCCTATCCTCTCTTCTTTCCCTTCGAGATTTTTTTGCAAGAGTGATTAATATCGAACCAATCAGAAAAATATATTATGTAGCTACATCAAAATTCATGCGGAAAAGTGAAATCTATTACGCAAATAAAAAATTTCTCTTCTTATTAGTTTTTAATAAAAATCGAAATTAAATAAGAGCAGAATACGTACTTTCACATATATCAACAATTTTAGCTTTTATATGAATTTTGGTATTATATAGCATACTTTTTTGTTGGAAAGTTGAGCGTTTAAATAAGAAAAAAATCAATGAAGGAGTAAAGGGAGAGGATAAGACGTTTGCAATTTTCGGCTGAATCTTAGTTTAATTATTTTATGAAGTAGTGCAAGCTATGTTTGTACGAAAAAATCGAAATTTATGAATTTAAAATACGCCTATTAAACGAGCGGTCCTTATCCTCATTACGTTAGGCACTACTCAATAAAAATGCATGATATCAAAAAAAATATATATTTAAATCCCCTAACACATTAATTTGATAAAAGTAAACTCGTGGAAATTTTGCGGAATTATATAATGACGAACGATTCTTTTTTGTAATTTTAAAACTTGATTGAAATAATCAACGATGAAAGGTTTTCAGGGACTCGGTAATACATGTATAGGTCATTAAGCGACAATCGACCTACATTTGAAGAAGTTACTTTCAAGATAGTAGAAGAATAGTTCTTCGATTATTTAAAATTATTTGGAAACGACATTCAGAATACTGTGTTGTATCGTTTGATTAAAGAATATTGTTCTTCCATTTTTTTTCGTTGCAATAAAATATGCAAGATAACTGTTTCAACCGTTTCATCAACGTGGAAAGCTCAATTCGCTTAACAGCTGACGCGCTCAATTTACAGTGTTTATTGAGTACAATTGTTAAAAATTAAAAGTTTGTAGTGGAAACAAGTGCTCGTTCTGAAGTAATCAATCAGTATTATCGTGAAAGTAACTTGATTTTGGAGATCTTATTCTATTTTTTGCAGAATACTAGCACTCTTTTTTTTCCCTTGACTTTTTTGTGTCGCGACTACTGATTGTGCGGTAGAATGACTGGTATAGTTTGCTGCGCGCCCGGTGGCGGCTGCGGTGGCAGGTATTGCATATGTTGCGGTGGAAGTGGTAGGTGAGGTGGAATTATAGGACACATTATCGGGTAACTCGGGGCGTGACCTTGGGGCGGTGGTTGCGGATATGTGGGCTGTGGAGTGCCGGGTGGATTGTAGGCGCCCGGTGTGTGTGGCTGATTGGGGTTGGCTGGGGACGGTGTTTGGCTAGGTGGTTGTTGAGCTACATGTGGATGTGGATGAGTGTGCGGGCCCATATATTGTATACCGGGGGCTTGCGGCCCCTGCGAGTCGTGATGATGATGATACGGCGTGGCCATGTGCGGCGGCGGCGGCGGTCCCTGAACCATGCGTACTGCCATTTGCTGATACGGTTGTCCGGGATAAGGCACCTGGAAGGGAGGATGAATCGCTGGAGCTAGTAATGGTTGTCCCGTTGCGGCGGCCACTTGCATCTGCGACGCTATGTCTGGTGCACGATGTTGCATCATAGGCACTGTAAGAAACAAGACGTCGTACGTTATACAATGTTTCTTTCAAATCAATACATAACGATGTCATTTTCTTCTCTCTGTTAGTTTTCTTTAGTGTCTTTTCTTCATTATTTGTTTATTTTTAAGGTAAAGTCGAAAGGTTTTCCCGAGATACTCGCAGGTTGCCAAAGTCTTGCGGAAAAGTAGCGATTGTAGATTCTTTTTGAGTGGGAACTGAATCTGTTATCACTGGCGTGCGAAAACAACGCACCAATCAATACGCCACAATCGTCGACCAAGTTTCAAAAGTGTTGTATAAAATATAGATGTAGAAATGAATTCTTATAAGATAATCAAAATTCTTGAAGCGGAAATTTAATTATTTGTTACGAAAGGTATTAGGTTGCGCCACATGGAATTGCTGATATAGTATTTTATTGGTAGAAAACTATTAATGCTAATGTAATGCGTATTCTGATTAAACTCATTTTGTCAAAAGCGCAATGTTTTTCGATCTAGAAATTGGTTTTTTGATCTAGAAGTGGAATAGCTCAGCTATAACTACGGATACAAATGTATTGCGCACTCGAAGCATGATACTGACCCTTTC